AGAACTTCAGGAGAGTCAGAGAAAGAGTATAATGTTAGGTACCAACATATTAGGTTACATATATGATGATGTTAAAGATTGGGCAATCATACTTTAAAATAGTAAGTTTATAGTTATTTTTGCTAATAATCATTTTATCTGTTGTGTATTTGGTGAGGCTTTTATAGTGAATGTTCTTTTAAGCCTGGATGAAATGAAATATAAGAGAAGTCCTAATTGGAGCTTTCTTGACTAAATATAAATATTTCAGGAGGAGTGAGGTAGAAGGGATTCATAAAACTTAGCTAGTTAGACACCCAGCTGCATATATTTATTTATAGCCTTCTATGTTGCTCATTTATGTTCTTACAGTATAAAACTGTCTTTGAAAATTAAAATTAAAAGACTATACACCTATAATAGGAGCCTATTTAAAAATAATGGAGTAAATTATGAAAAACAAATGAGCTTTATTTGGTACCTTTTGAACATTATTGAATTCTAGAGTTGAAAATACTTGTTTAAGCTAATATTTGTAGCTATGGTAATACTACTGGTCCAGGAGCTATGCCAACTCTAAGTAAAATACGTTCTAATTAGTATAGGCTTAGTGTTTTTGTTTAATGGACACCAATTTTATTCATGATATTCAAGACATGCTTAGTACCAGTGAAACAGCATGAAAAGTATGCTCTTTATTGTTTTTAAAAACTACCCAATTAAGGATATGGAAGTAAATCTTTAATGAGATAGCTCTTCTGACACTAAAAGAGATGACTGTGTCCTACCTGCTCTTGGCAAAAACAAAATTAGATTGTTGGATGATTGAATAACTTGGTCATGAAAAAGTTTATTCTCTAAATTGAAGTTGGCAAACTGTGATCTGTGGACCAAACCCTGACTGTTTTTGTAAATAAAGTTTTATTGGAACACAGCCATGCTCATTCATGGACATATTGTCTGTGCTTTTGTGCTACAGTGGTAGTGTTGAGTAGTTATGGATCATTTGATTCACAGTGCCAAAAATAGTACTGTTTGGCCCTGTGGGGAAAAGTGTGCTGACCCCTGCTCTATATCTAAGTTTTTTGCAGTCAGATCATTTTAAAGTTCTGGTGGAGGTTTATGAAGTTAGTATTTTTGTGTTTAATTTCTCATTCTGCTTCATTCTAAGAAACAATGCATTTTAAGATAGAATACTTAAATATTTATATATATAAATATATAATATATTTAATTATTTAATATATTATTTAATATAATATATAATATATTTATATATATAATTTTGAGTGCTAGTTTCCAGCTTTCTCATCCACAGGTAGGCATAATACTACCTTGCAGGGTTGCTATGAGGAATCAGTTAGAAATGTAAATAAAATGTTTAGGGTGCTTGGCATCAAAGAAGGAATTCAAGCAATGAGGAGGTATAGTTAGGGGAAGTTTAGGTGTTTATTTGGGTAATTTAGGATGGCATGCTTTCTAAAAATTTTCTTTCTTTTTTTTTTTTTCTTTCTTAAATTTTCTAAAAATCTCTAAATTCTAATTTGTCCACAGAACTAACTGGCTATAGAGTCCTAGTTTATCTATGTTCTTAATATAACATTGGTGATTAACTTCCCTCCATCTTTTCTTCCCTCCCTCCTTCCCTGCCTTTGTCTCTCTTGTCTTCTCTTCTTCCTGAACTTCATACCTTCCTCTCTGTTTTCTTTTTGATATATGTAAGCCTTGGTACTAAATTTAGGTCAGTGAGTAGTATCTACTCCTAGGGAGAGTATACAGAGAAACAAACACATAGAAAGAAGATTCTCTCTTATCCTTAGTTCCGTTTTCTAGGAAACAAAGGAACTCTAAAATCTTGTAATCTCCCTCCCTTTATTCGTTTTTTTTTTTTTTTTTTTTTAGAGAGAGAGTGAGTGTGAGAGTGGCTGCCCCCTTTATTCTTACGTGATTATGTGTAGCCATCTATGTGTGTGTAAAATCTGTTTTTACCACAGCAAATTTTAGGGCAGATCTTGAGTTTTGTCTTGAACCTTGATGCCAAGGGTTCACCTTTAGACAGGCATGGTTTTCTTCTAAGAGCCTGGACAAATAGATGATAGATAGATTCTCCTTAACATTTTGAAGATTGAGTGATGAAAAAATTGACCCTGGCAGGGTCACTTAGTTGTTTCCTTGTTTGATGGAAACAAATTTAAAAACTGAGTTATTTTACTTGACTTTATTTTTAGGAGATCACTTTGAAACCTGGGACCTAACCTTTTCAAGTTACTATAAAACCAGTATTAATATAAGTAACAAAGCAAAAAAAATCATAGAATAGTTTTTGTTTTTATTTATTTATTTTTTTTATTTTTTTTTTTAAAGATTTTATTTATT